GTGCTCAGGAAGGTGCTTGGTTGCTTGAAGTTGGGGCTGGAGAAAATGTTTAATTAGGAGAAGAATTTGAAAAGAGGCAGAGAGCTACAGATTCTGCAATTTCAGGATTCTGTCCAGGATCATGGAAGATAAAATAGAGCTGCCATATCTAGAAGGGAATTTCAGGACAATCCAGTATCTGGGAAACTGTGTTTTAACAATATAACAAGGTTAGGCTCTATATCTCTTTCCCCTTTAATTTGGCACCTTCCAGATGCCAAAGACTACACCTTCCATAGATTCTCAGATTTGAGCCAGCCTCTCCCAACCTGGTATTACCTAAATGTGTTGAATGGCCTGAGAGTCATAGTCCAACACATCTAGAAGTGCCAAGTCAGAAGGCTGGCACAGATCCATGTGACAGTATGTAAACAAACATTATGTAATTAGTTGACAAAGCACAAGGTAACACCAGAGTAACAGTCCATTCACCTCCCTTTTACTTTAGTCTGGCTCCTCTGTAATCTTTCCTGCTACAACTTGAGGGCTGAAAACTGATGTAAACTTTCTTTTCCAAGCAGTGAATCCATGCTGAAATATATTTAACTCAAATATATCTTCTTCCATCCTTAGTATCAAGCTCTGACAGAGGAAAAAAAACAGTCATGCCATTTGGGGCCAGTATGGCAGGGCACTTACCTCCTACTTTCATGTCTTCCCCAGGAAGCTTCCTTTCCCCCAGTGCCAGAGCATGGATTTTTTTTTTTAATTTAACATTTCTCAGGTTAAAAAAAAATGATACACTTTAACAAAGCAGATAATAAACAGGTAGGCCATGAAGATTCATGTACTTCAGAACAGAGATGCACAATCTTCTCTTTGGGAAAACTAAGGAATAGTTCCTGCTGAGTTGTAATTGAGAAGCAGGAAATTATTAAATGTGTGAGGAATAATCCTATTAATTTATCTTAATTACATGTACAATTAAATTGTATGTATTTTAGTAGCCCCATCCATAATCTAGAAGCTCAACCCAGGGATTTTGTCTCTGATATTTCACAACAGCTACTGCTGTTCAGGGTTCCAAAAAGTTCCATGCTTCTTCTTTAAAGAACATTTTTAAAAAAGAGAGCTGCTCAGGTCATCTGAAGCCGTAGAAAGAAGAAAAAGCTGGGCTGAAAATGAAGGTAGCACTAAAGAAGCATTGTCAGTGGTAAAACCAGTAGCTCATGTTCATTGCAAATTATCTTGGCGTACTCAATATTTTATCTCAGAAGTGCATACTCTTTCGAGCACTAGTTGTGTTAATCAAAAGTTTCCCAGGCACATCATAAAGTTTTTGGAAGAGCACAAAACAATTAACATCTCTCTGTGGCAGAAATCAAGAGGGTGGAGGGAAGGTTAGCGTGCAACCACATTCCAGAAAGTGAGTGACTACAGCACCTGAATCTGCCATTCCCATCTTTTGCCTTTCTTTGCACTACAGTTCTCAGCAATGACCATTGCTGAAGGTTTCAGATTAAACAAACATAATGCTAAGCTTCACCAGGGCTAGATATCTCATGTCTGGTAGTCCATACTGCCTTCTCTCCCTGCATTCCCATCCCTTTCAAAAGCACTGTTGTACATTTCAGGTTAGTCTATTACAAGCCCTCTCTCTTCTCTTGAGACTACCATTGTTTCCAGAAACAAAGCATGGTTTCACTCACAGCCATGCTCCTGGCAGAAGATAGCAGTTTACTTGTCAGAGTAAAAAAACAAAACAAAATACCACCTCTACATTTATACATAGCATCTTTCTCCCTCTGAACTCCAGACTGTTCCAACCACTATTATTTCTGAGGCTCATAATCAGCAATTGTTTTACTTTTCATGAATTATGTCACCAGACCCTGAATTCATAGAACTTGGTTAATGCTTTAGCTCTAACACTTCACAGCTGAAAACCAAAGTGTTTTTAGACAAACCTCTCTGTATCTAACAATGTGACAGATCAGTCTTTCCAGGCTATGATGCCTTGAAATTATGGGAGAGGAGGACCAGCAGATCAGGAGAGCATGATACTGGAAAAGGCTGTGTCGAATTGCAGTGCTTATCATCTCCAATCAACAATCTTGCAGACTAAGTATTCTAGTCCAAATCACCTGAAAGGCACTAATTTTAAACAGGTCATTCAGAACAACTTTATTCTGATGGACAGTGTTCACTGGCCCCTTAGCACATATTGCCAACTATTCCTTGCTTGTCACAGCCAATCTGCTACTCACTATCCTAATTTCGAAGCCTGCTCTACACTGATTTTGGAAGGAGATCAGAAATGTCTCTATATTTTATTTGTATCACTGGACGCTCATTTTTTCACTATATCATGCCTTACAATATGGTTAGTGCATTTCTAGAATAACTGTCAGTACGCTGCATGTGTTCTTAGTTGGTGGGATGCAGGCAATAATATGTTGGCTTGCAAGGTATCTCTAGACCACAGATCCTACCTTGCATAGAACAGATGAGGCACTTGTGGCTTCCTGCTGAAATGTGCCCAAATTGGCCAGTATGGTCTTTATCATTACCAGAGAAGGCTGATGGGCATGGATACAATTCAGGTTGGTAACTTTTTAAATATCTTATTTTATTAGAAAGAGTTATATGAAAGCCTCAGTTGCCAAAGCATGATGGACAGTGAAAGTTAATACTCATGAGCTGATCTGGTGATGATCATGGCATTTGTAAGACTATGACTTAAAACGCTAGAATAAATGGTAAACAGCATAGATTAACAAATGAAATGGAAAACCAGTGTATGTTGTGCATTTGTGAAACTGAAAAAGGGAAAGGAAATAATACATCGTAATGAATATGGTCTGATGTTGTGGAATCAGGTTAATGAAGACATGCAGGTAAGTGAAAATGCAAGATTAATTATGAATATATAATTTGATATTATTCAGATTGTGTGTATGAAAAAGGAATGCATGCATTTGTGAATGATAATAATAAAGGACCAGATATGAAGGCGCTTGGCAGAATTCTGAGGGAAAAGCATAACAGAACAATGAGCAAAATCTGGGAAGTCCATTGTGGCTTTATGTTAGGCAAGGGTTTTTCAGATCCAGGTTTTTGTTCCTTAGCAAGTCATTGAGAAATGTATGAATATGATAAAGCTAGATTATATGATGCAATACAGAATGCAGTTCTGAAAATTACTGTATCAGAAACCCAAAGTAGTTGTATCTGACAGGGAAAATGGAGTGAATTGCAAGTTAAGCATAAATGGTGAAAAACTAGTAGATGACTTTGTATACTTTGACAGAATGATTATTAAAGATGGGAAAATGGATAGAGAAATTTAAGAAATGCAAATGCTTGAAAAAAAGTAATGACTCTCTTCTGAAGAAAGTTTATTGAAAAAAACAAACATAGTTGTGTATAAGTACATGCTTCTACTCACTCTGTTAAATGGAAGTGAGAGTGGGGTATGTCAGGAGACAAATTAGGGTTCAATGCAGTGGGAATGGGGAACTTAGGAAGCACGTGTGATAAAACAAAAACTGATAGGCTCAAGAATGAATGTGTGCTCTACAGACATAGACAAAATTAACTGATTTGGGAGTCCAACACTGTGAAATTCTAAATTATTCCATTTCTTTCTGGATTACACTGAAACTCCTCCCAAACCGTGTTGTTCTAAGGCCAGTCTGGCAAATTCTGGAAGTAAATCCTTCCAACTGCAAGATGTTTAAGATGTTCCAGACATGGTGTTGTGGACAAAAGAGACTTTGTTTCAGGCGTGAATCATCCCTGGAATTGCAAAACAAATAATAGAAGGCAGAATGAATGGATCGAGATGAAGGGGAAGACTGAGAAAGCTGTGGTTGGATGGAATTGATGAAATCCTTCAAAAGAGAGAGGGGAGAAATTTACAGAACAAAAAGCAATGCATAAAAAGCTATATGGATGTGATAAAGCAAGGATGATTTCCAAGGAGAGAAAGGTATTGTGAGAAGGAAATCAAATTCTTCCCCACCCCCATGTCATCAGGAAAGTCAAAGCTTCCCATTTGTCTCACCCTACCAATGTTTATCGTAACAGCAATCAAGGCATATGATTAAATTATAGTAAGAATGGGCTCACCTAAAAAGATTAAAAACGTAGCAGAAAAAATCAAGAGTCCTCCACCCCAGCTCAAAATTAAATAACTAAAGACCTAACAGGAAGGGCCAACATTCCTTGAAGCCATAATCAAATCATAAAAAGATTTCTTCCCCGAAGAGATCTACATTCCAATTAGACAACACCAGACAAGGCAAACACAGAAAACCCCAGCTCAGTAGGGTGCCTGACCTTAGAAGGCTCCCTTCTAAAGATCTAGTCAATTACACTTTCACCAGAATGCCCCCTCCATTGGAATCCCAGCTAATTACCTTTTCTAAGAATTCCTAGAGGTTGGGTATCCCTTCACACCTTTCAAGGAACAGTAGTAGGATCTTCCCTATAGAAGGAACTCCTGGGGAAACCAGCTGTCCGTCTTGTGTATCAGGATCTGGGAAATAAAGTCTTCTCTCTCCTTCAAGCAACTCCCTGCGTGCTTTATTTCCGGCTCGGAGACGAACTTCATAAGTTTTCTTTCTAGCAGTATAAAGAGATATAATGAGCAGTGTTGGTATAAATGAGATTTATTTTTCTTTTTTTCTGATCTCATGCCTTTAATTTCTTTGACTTACTATTTTTTACTCCTTTTATGTGCTTTGTATAATGATGCTTACCCTGAAATAGTGTGATAAGTACCTGTCTGTCTGTTAATAGCCAAAACTCTTTGTCAAGTTCACTGAAGTAAAAACATTAAAAATGCCCAAAGATAATAAAATACATTGTAAAATCAAAAACGGACTAAATTCAAAAGAGCACCAAAATGTAAGGCCAATAATATACAAGAATCTAAGCACGTTTTGAAATAGAATTCTTATTTTACTTGTACGTAATTTTACAGATAGATGAAAGAGTCAGTATCCTATTCAACAAGAGGAATCCTCCAAAACAGGGGGAAAAAAACCTGAAATATTACTAGCTAGCAAAAGATTGGGACATTGACTAGTAAATTGGATTTTAGATTATATGTACCAAATTGACATCTCTTGTTGAATTCATCATTGTCATGGCAAAGATCTGCATATATTTGAACAAGGCCAGTCCAATCTAGTAACGCTGTAAATAAAACATGTATGTGTGTGTGTGTAATTCTTCTGAGAGGGCTTCAATTGAATGTGTGGAATGATTTCTTTAGTTGATTTTGGCTGGATGTGACAATATATATTCATTGTCTAGCATGAAACTTTACAGTTTGCTGATCTTAGGAGCCTGATACATTGTAACTTGAATCATTAACTACAAATCAGTAATGAAGTCAGTGGTCCTTTAAAACACTGCCATAGATTTAAGACTGAGAGCGGGTATGGTGTAGTGGTTAAAGTTCTTGACTAGGACTGGGGAAAGCCAAGTTTTAGCTGACCTATAGCCACAGAAGTTTACTGGGTGACTTTCTGATGGTCAACCTCTCTCAGCCCAGTCTTCCATACTGAGGAGTTGTGGGAGAAATTAGGAGGAGGTAACACTATATATACCGTCTTCAGCTCCTGAATAAAATAGGTTATAACTCAAATAAATGAATAAGTTTGGGATGTTGACGTAGAGCAGATGATAAAATACAAGTCCCCATCTGACCCCCGATTCAAAAGCAATGAAAAGTAAAATCTCTTTCAAGACAAGCTCAGCCCCTTGAAACTTTAACAGCAATATTTGTATCTATGTATGTATGTATATAAAATTTATATGGCCACTCATCTCACAAACAGGTGACTCCGGGTAGCAAACAACAAGACTAAAAATAATAAATATATAAAAAACTATTATTATTATTATTATTAAAAACTTTTAAAAAACACAAAACTAAGAGAGAACAGATATTAGGCTAAGAGCAGATGTTAATAACAATGGAGCCATCTCAGTATTTCACCAATCCCCTGGGGGCCCCAGGCCTAATGGCACAACCTGGTTTTGAGGGACTTCCAGAAAATTAACACTTCGGGGGAGCGGGGAGGATGCTCCATAAAGCAGGCCACAGCAGAGAAGATCCACCACCTAGGACCCGCCAAATGTACCTCCCTATCCAATGAGACCCGTAGTATGTCAAAATAAATAAAATAAAATAAAATAAAATAAAATAAAATAAAATAAAATAAAATAAAATAAAAAATAAAGGAAGTGATTTACTCCTGCCTTCCTCCAGGAAGCTTGTTCAACTTCCTAGTCTAACTGACAGCCCATCCAAGTATTAGCTAATTAATACTATGATCAATAATTAATACTATAATACAGTAATTATAAAATCCCTAAACAGGAGTAAATCAAACATCCACTTGGAGAAACCTAGCCAATCTTGAGTGATCTCAAGCTACCAAGGGTGTGTGGATGGGAAACAGGGCTGTAGGCTAGACTGGGAATCCTGAAAGAAGGCAAAAGTAAACCCATTCTATATGGTTGCAAAGAAAGCTACACGGATGTATCCATGAAGTCACCAAGAGTTATGCTGACTCAGAGAATTTACCTTGTAGAAGATAAATAGGGATTTATTGATAAATCTCTGGACTGGTTTGCAGTAGATTATCAACAGTTCTGATTCATATAACCACTGCACTGAGAACATTATTATTATTCCCTTACTACATACAATATTAGATTGCTGAAAAGAAGAAAGTTTGAGTAGGCAGGATCAGACATTTAGACAAAAAGCATTAACTTAGTTCAGTTTTTATAGGTGCTTGTGTTTGCACAATGTGTCCCTGCATGGTTAATTAAGCCATGGTTTATTAAATTAACCCAATGGTTTAGGTTTGAATAACACACTAAATTATCCACACTGGCTGGATTCACACACAGGAGACTAAAGTGCAAATTAGCCAACCATTTTTCAGTCTATTATATTATGCAAATCCCACCCACTAAAATCAGATTCCTAAGTCCAGAATGGACTCAAAAGTATCCTGTTCTTTAATTTCACGTGTATATCTTTTACATCAGGCTGGACAGATCTTGAGATTCTAGTGAGAAACTGCATAAATCTAACAAGCATGAAGATTGCCCATCTCTACTTATAGGATACTAGCTACTGGAATTGTATAGTCCATTTACTATACAATTGCCAAAGAAAAGAGCCTATTAAAAATCTTGGAGCTTACGGAATTGATGTGATTAAAGAACTGGGCAAAGCCCTACTTTTTCCTGGAAACAGTAGCTTGGTGCCAGGCAGCAACTTAACTATACAAAGAGAACCAGTTCATAGAAAGAAAGAAAAACAAAACTGGCAATAATGTGTCAAAGAAGTTTGCTTTGTTTCTACAGCCACTTCCAGTTTTAGAAATACACTACTCTGTTCTGCAAAGATGGGGCTTGCATTTCTCCAAAAGTTGCTAAGCTCACCATTGGCCATACTGGCTGGAGCTTATTGGAGCTGTAGTTCTGCAATATATTTAGAAGATAAGGGTTCCTCACATCTACTGCCCTCTATTTATAGATATTTTAAGAAGAGAATTCCTCTGTACTCACCCCAAAAAACTCTGTACTGTATAGTGACAACACCCCAAGGTATTCTTTAAAAAACTAAACAGTGGGTGGCTGGACTCCATGGCATTATGTGCCTTCTGAAATTTGAATATTTTGTGATTGGCTATACCCACAATGGCAACCATTTTATGAGAGCACTCAGAATAACGTGCTCTCAAAATTCCAAATGTGCCCACCAGCCCAAAAATGTTGGGGATCTTTGACCTATTATTCTCCATGAATCTTAGCAACCTGGCAAGTTGATTGTTACTTTACATGCAGAGAGTTGGGATCCCAAGCAACTTACTACGTTCATGGTGACATTTAAATTTTGAACCTTGTCCACTGTGCTCACATCCAACACTGTATTCACTGACCTAAACAACCTGGCTTAATTATAGGCTGCGAGAATATTGTATCCCAGTTCAAAACAGCAACTTAGAATCCAGGATGATTATTGTGCTTGGTTGAGGCGCTCATTCCAAAAGCTACTTTTTGACTTGCAGCAACAAGAATGAAGGTATCTATCTTGACTATGGGCAATCAGTCCCAGCTGAAGGTCACTGGCTAACCAGTAAACCAACTGACCCACTGAGTACTGGGGTGCAGGGGAGAGGAAACTAATAGCTGCCTTAATCCTATGCAAATAATCCTTACCAACAGGTTCTACTAAATTAAGTGAATCTTACTTAGGTAACAGTGCATACAGTCTAACACCTGGTTGTGCCAAGCCAGTTTGTTAAATATACAGTTGGTTTAGATTATTCATCATATGTGGCCATATTCCACCACCGTGACTGGTTCATCAATCCACCAATAAGTAAACCCCATTATACTTAACTGCAATGCATGAACTCGCTCTAAATCTATATACTTAGAAAAAAAAACACGCACTGATGAACTGAGCCTAATTTTAGAAACAAAAGCAAGGTAGGAAAAACGTTGATAAGAAGCCACTTAGAAAATATTTCTTATCAATGCCTTCAGGTTTCATGTGTTAGCTGGTTTTCCTATCAGAGCTAAATCAAGAGCTGGGAGTAAATTGTGTTTCAGGTTAAGAATTGGACGCAAAAGCAAAGGAGTTAACTGTTTCTAATGACAAATTCTTATGCCTAGAAACTGAATCATTCTCAAATAAATGTGAGGCAACATCCACTGAATTCATTGCAAGTTGTCATTCTTTCCAAGTCATGGGACTCCAGTAGTGCTAATTATTACTCCAACCCAAGGAAAAAAACAGAACATCTAAGCAACACTAGTGCCTTTTACAAAGATTTCACATGATCAGCATACATGTTTAAGTATTAGTCATTCTACTATGTCAGTGTCATCCAAACTTGGCCACTTTAAGATGAGTGGACTTCAACTCCCAGAATTCCCCAG